CCCGACGAAACAAACTGCAGCATTTTTTCGCGCGTCCTTCCATTCACTAATTTCTAACGAACTTCTCGAGGAACAGGACACCTTGATTTATCGGTTGGGGTAAGAAGCTTGAGCTGCTGGATTTACGACTGAGATGCTAGGCCTTTGCCGTATAGAGGCGACTCGTAGCTGATGGATTCGATACAGTAAAATTAGAAACTTTGGTGTTTTACAGTAACATTTGTGTGTTTCGATACGTGAAATGTTGAAAGAAGGTTTGTTCTGTAATTTATGCGAGATTTCTTGGTAAATTTTGAAGAGTCTTGTGTAGATCTAATTAGAGAGTATAGAACGACTGCCAGTCATCAGATGATTTGATAGAGCAAAATTATACACTCTGGTATTTAACACTAACCTTTGTACAGTGCATCAATACGTGAAATATTGAAAGAAAATATATTTTTTCTGTAATTTATTCATGATTTATTGATAAATTTCAAAGAACCTTATCCCCATCTATTAAAAAGTACAGAACATTCCAAATAAAAACCTTTCAAACAGTTAAAACGATAAACAATTCGCTTCTCCACATACAAACATGAGGTACATTTGAAGCTCTAACAACTCTGAATATAACAACCTAATCCTAATCTGTCCTCAAGAGGAATCAAGTGATAAGCTAACTTAGGTAGCAAGGTGCGTATATCCCCAAATGTTATTCTTGTAAAACACCGAGTGGAAATCCCGTAGAGATTAACCAGTTAACTGCGTTTAGCGAGTATGCACGTAATTTTGAAACTCGAAATGATACTAATCTCTTCAACGATGAATTACTTATTTTCTCAGAAACACATGCAATTCTTTTTCGTTTTATTTTAGATTCTCATTAGAATATATTATATGAACATTCGCACCGAGTATACACTTTATTGCTTGACTTTATTCTGCACAATGAGAGTTAACGAGAGTTAACCAGTTAATCCTGCAACACAGCGTTTCAACTCAGCTTCGAAACTTCCTAGGACTATGAATCATTTAGCAACCGAGTCTATCCAGCTTTCTCGAGAGTCCTACGATCCATCGAAGTCTCATTAAAAACTCAATCCCACCCCTTCAGCCGAAGAAACATTCCAGAATTGCCAAGCAACGGTGAATCGCGTTTACGCTGGCATAAACGAAGGTACAACGGTCTCGTTCATTATTTAGCAACCGTGGCGTCGCGAGCTGAATATGTATATACTTAATTGCTTGACTTTTTTCTGCACAATGAGTGTTAACGAGAGTTAACCGGTTAATCCGCAACACAGCGTTTCAACTTCGCTTCGAAACATCCTAGGACTATGAATCATTTAGCAACCGAGCCTATCCAGCTTCCTCGAGAGTCCTACGATCCATCGAAGTCTCATTAAAAACTCAATCCCACCCCTTCAGCCGAAGAAACATTCCAGAATTGCGAAGCAACGGTGAATCGCGTTTACGCTCGCGTAACCGGCGAAGGGACGACGGTCTCGTTCATTATTTAGCGAGCGTGGCGTCGCGCGATGAATGTCCATTCATGAATCGTTCGTTCCCTGCACTCCATCCTCCGCTTTTTCTCTGTTCGACGCGACAGGTCGGCACCGTGGCACCCGGTGGTCCTATCCCTAGTCCCGCAAACTTGTTGAGCCCGCAGCGCCAACGCTCTCGAGACTGTTGGGTGCCGGATGCGGCCGTGATCTTTTGTTCCCTGGCTTGTCTTGTTTATTCAAGGACCGTGGCTGCATGGCCCACTCACTTGTCCATCGCTCTCTCTCTCTCTGTCTTTCTGTCTTCTCCTTTCGTTTCACCACCCTCTGTTCTGGTCCTAGGAGTACATCCCTTCGTTGACGAAGTTACGCGCAAGACGTCCAAACTATCCTGGGGAATCGCATTAACTGCAATTACCGGGCAGACTCTGCGAGCCTGGGTCCCCGAAACTTGTCAGGGACAAGTTTGCTGCCGGATGGGCTGACTCGTGGGGACACGGGAATTTCAGACGTTTGCAAATGAATCGATCCGAGATTATACGGATAAATGAGCTAATCTGTCTTGTTTTTTCTGGTTGCCTTTGAGATAGGTTTGCGCTGCGACGTGGGCGATTATTTACTTGCCTTGAGGGAACGGACCTCAGGAGATTGTAGCGATGTAGGGAATTCGGTTCGTTGAATTCCGTGTGTGTGGAGGTTTTTATTTAATCTGTTAACTGGGGAATTTAGTTTGAAAAACCGTTCTGCGTGCAATGAAATCGAAAAATGGAACGTGTACTCGTCGAACGCAGGATAAATGCGCCTAAAGTATATTTTAATGAAAGACTTGTACCTTGTACTTTTCAAACACATTGTATTTTTCAATTTTTCAATTATAGCACCTTATATTTTTCAATTATCTGACTGTGACGCCTTGTGTTTTTCAATTTTGTTGATTTCGTTGCTTTTTTTAAGTAAAAACGGGATTTTTCATTTCCGGTACGCAATGTGTTAAAATCAACGGAACTCAATAAAAAACAACAGACACCTGCGTAACGCCGGTCGCATGCTGTCAGGCGTAAGACAAGGACAGAGACAGCGTACGACAAGGATAGTTTTTTTTAAATTGAAAAGCGGCTTAGAACCTTTTATGGTCTATTGCCCAGTATACGCGGTTACAATATCTTATTACCAGCTTATACTATTTTTAATCGTATTATGTTTCTCTTAGTTGTCAGCCATTAATTCGGGAGTTTGGTTTTATTTTTGTTTGTTATATCTTGATGTTACTTTCCTTCCAGAATTTTTCTAATATTTTTAACCCTTTGCAGACGAAGATTCTTTGAAATGTACAAAATCTTCAACAGATGAAGCTGAATTATATACAAATTGCTGAAATAATAGCAAAAACAGAAGCCACATGCTAATCTCTTACTCGAGAAATTAGATCATTTACCTGCGACTTAGCCTTCCAAATCTGAACGTTTCATCTCGCCGAAATGTCGACATTCGTCCGCAAAGGGTTAAAAGGTAGATTTTGGTTGCGAGCGATAGTGGCGCCATCTAGCGGATGAGAATTTTTGAAGCTTCTCCCTATATCTGCAATGTGTAAGACAAGGACGGAGCTAGTATGCGACAAGGACAGAGATAGTGATTCCCGTGCCACCTACTTGGAAAAAGCATCTCATCAGTTCCTGGTACCTACTCGTGAAGCATGACGAGTATGGAGGTATTTGAAGACGGTTGCAAAAATAGCGGGAGAAAGACAAGGATACACATAGAGCGCGCAAGGAATTCAAACTGTAGATAGAAGATTCGTTAATAATTCGATTCCCGTTAGTGGTTTATTAATATCTTCAATTGCGGGACGTAGAATAGACATATAGCTATTTTTGCCATGCATTGATAATCATGTTTTAATTCAAATTAAGGAGTTATTAATAGTTTTTGGAAATGTTATTCTAAAGTTAGGACTCAATATTAGAGCTGGCCTGGGGGAATAATTAATATTCTTAATTTGTAGACACAAATACGGGTATTTTATGTTTGCAGGATCTAGAATAGATCTATAGTAAGGTTCTGGTAGAGATTAATGGAGGATTTCCTATGTAATTAGGAAGTAATTAACGATTTATCAGTGGTGCGTTTAAGTGAAATGAACTACGGAAATGAAAAATTAAAAATATTTCACGAATAACAGTTTTGAAATTAATGTTCTACGCGTCAAATTGTTGTACGGCAGGTTAACTAGATCCTGCAAATCCACACAATTGTTGTTTATTAAGGATTGTTTAATAAAAGACTGCTCATGGGGACTGAAATGGTTTCGCCATCTCGCGGTGGAACTATGGAACTAAATCTCATTTAAACAATACTTATATAAGCATCATTTGAAATGCAATAATTAGTTAATTAAAGCTTCGACCGACATTTTTATATTGTAGTATTATTAATGGGTACCTCATGGACAGATTTGCATGAAGGAAATCGAGTTGAAATGGTCTAATAATTAAATATTTAATAAAATATTAGATTGTTGCTAAAAGTAAATTGCTGCGCCATCTATAAGTAGTTTTGTATACTATTTACACAAAAAAGTAGTGAATTATCTCGTCAGGTGGCGAAATATGACAAATTTTCTTTTAATATAATAGTGTTTTTAATAAAACAATTAATTAATTAATGGAGCGCTGCAAATGAGTGTTTATTATCGCAATGAATTCCCGAGATTGTACTTAACAATTTTGCGTTTATGGTATGATCCTTCGATCGCAAATTAATTAATTATTTGTACCTATTTTCGTAGCGTGCTGTTTATACGGGCGATTAGTTCGGCGGTTTCACCGCTAGATGGCGATACTATTTGTGTGCTCATAAACGGGCATTTTTGGAAAATTTGTAATATGTACGAATTTTGGAAGTTAGATATATAGGATCAATTTGACACTAAAAACATTAATTTTGAGCTGCTGGCTTTCAAAATATTCTATATTTTCTGTTTTTGTAGTTCACATGTTTCGCCGCTAGATGGCGATACCATTTGTGTATCCACAAATTTAAAGAAATCTGGAATTTAAAAAATTATGGTGTTCTGCGGTATGAGGGCGGTTCGATATCATGCTGCAATTAATTTAATATTCAGAGCGTTTAATTTGAACACCTGAATTTCATTACATTTCAGGTTTTCTATTTTCTGTTTCTTAATTTAATTTGAAAAATACAAGTCTCCCCTAGGTATTGAATCAATGATTCTTACCGCACTTTGCATGATGATTTATACTATAACCGGCAAGAATTATTTTCCGTTAGGATGGATATCCTTACTCTGATTTGTTATAATTATTATACTTACTATGACAATGTTTATCAGAATTATAAAAAAATGTTGATTCTAATCAGCGCCTGATTAAATTCCTTGATTAGATTTAAATATACACAAAAAGATACAATGTTCTAATTTTATATGGGATTATCTTAGACCGTGTAACATGTATGTTTATTATAAATCGATCTTATCTCCCCTAGCAAGAGAGAATTTTTATAATTACAACCTTGAGGCAGTTGGTTAATAGTTCAATGTTTTATAAACATTGATTACTGTGCGCAGTATCGTTCGTTTACCCTCGAGCGACTGTTGAGAAATGTCATCGATTTTTATAGGGCATGCAGTGTCTGATACTGGCTTGATTCGTCAACTGTGGTTTGCCTTTGTTCTTGGAGGAATACGTAATCGTGTTGCCACAAAGATAAGTATGACACCTTTGACCAGATAACGTGGCCAAAAGTAACAGCTGCGTGGCAAATTGGTCTGTTCACTGTCAATTATCGTTCTCGACACGGTAACGCTGAAATGGCGGAAGGATCTGAATTAAGTTTCTTCGACTTAAGGCTGGTACACGATCACTTTGATCGTGCCCTCGTGGAGGACGACGATATTGATCTCAAAGCCTACTTAGACGCCTACAATGAGCTCTACAAGTGAGTCAATTATGAAACAATTGTTCTTTCATTGAACATAACCTTTCATTGCTATATACCTTGCAATAATCCCATATAATTCTAATTTATTGGCAATACATTCTAATTTCAGCTGAAAGTCAGACATTTGCCATTAATATTTGTCTTTAAACTATTGTCAATTCATGTACACTATCCTTACTTCTTATACCCATATGTAACATAACGCATTCAAATCTTCTTATATGTAATCTAATGCATAGCAATTATTGCTTGCTTCAACTCCATTCTTTATGTCTGAATATGCATAAGGTATAATGTAATACGTATACACAGATTTTTCCAGTTGATGGGCAGTGTATTTGGCTTCGTGTCCTCTGATTTGAAGCAAAAGATTGAAATACTGATTGAATTGACAAGCAAAGATGATCAGAATTACACCACCATAAAAACAATGATATTACACGAGAAGGAGAATAAACTTCTCGATAAGGGAGACTATACAAATGGGGCACGTACACTATTAAGACTCCACAGGGGATTAGGTATTACACTGACAATGAGCTGAATTCTGTCATGTGACTCCTTTGCTCTGTGCGTACCAACGCTACTACTGAACTTTCAGATTTTATTAGAGAATTCTTGAGGCAACTAGGTGACCTATCAGACACTGATAAGACATCTACCTCTTGTCAAGATGCGTATAGTAAAACCTTAGCCAAGCATCATCCATGGGTGATCAGAAAAGCAGCCATGGTTGCCATGTACACTATGCCAACCAGAGAACTTTTATTTAAAAAGGTATATCGTCAAACGTAAAAACAATTCCAGGATATTTTATATTCTATCTTCCAGGTTTGCGGGTCTGAGGTCCAAAGGAATGTCGACGTCTTGCCAAAAATGTTGGAGGTGACTGCCGACGTGTTCAATCGTACTCACACTATCTACGAGGTCCATCAACTTCACGCTTTACCGTAGAGAATAATTTAAAAAAAATCTAGCTTTATGGTACAATCAAATAAAAATGGCTGCACCTGTTTCACGGAAGCTGCCCGGGAAAGCATGCTGCGCGAACATTCCGTATAAGAAAATTGTGATACGCGGTAATCTTACTTGGTACGGTCCGCTCTAGCATTTTGTAACGACCACTTTTTACTTAAGTGTATACACTGTTGTTTATAATTTCTGATATTGTACAAAATGCACCAGTCCTTGCCCTACTCTCCTTTCTCCGTACTCTCCTTTGTAGCTTTAATTCCTCTGTACACCTGTCTAACACGAATTATATAGATATAGAGCAATCCGCGTAGAATCGACGTCGAACGATTCGGTGCAATCTTTATTTATCAATTAAATGTTTTTATTACAAACCAGTATTGTACAAGAATATCAATGAATATCTGCGAGATGAAAGGAAACACGTCTGTCTTTTGTACCCTGTTTTTTTACACGTTTAAGCAACGGATAGTAAAATCACGATTACGAAGCTGGAAAAGTCTTTCAAGAACTCGATCGGTTAGCTGACAAGAGTGTGCGTCGCATTGTTAATGCTTATCGCAGTGCTATTGGCAATGGTAGCGAACGCATCGTCGGTTATCAGCACTCCTGAAAAAATCACGTCATCGTGTTAGGAAAGTAACTAAAAATAATTTCGAAGGCAAAAGACATCGAATGTTACCAGCGAAGCTAGCTGTGAGAAAACAGATCGCGCTGCCAGCTACAAACGCTCTCATGACAGTGCTCGTGATCTGTTCCTTCTTTTCCGGTGCTATAGAAGTCAGCCCGCCAAGCGTGATACCTATGGACCCCGGATTAGCGAAACCACAAATGGCGAATGTCGCGATCGCTTCTGTTCTGCCAAATATTCTACCCTGACGTTTGAATTCCCCTAATTTCTGGTAGGCAACGAACTCGTTGATGACGGTTTTCAGACCTATTAAGGTTGCCACATCCTCGCATTCCTCCCAAGGCACCCCCATAATCCAACTTAGGGGTTTGAACACCTTCGATAATATCAGCTACAAACAGAAAATCAAAAACTGGCAATTAATCAATCCTAAACCGAGGTATATTCACGTTTTCTGTTGAAAACAGCTGTAGAGAATAGTCAGTAATAGGAATATAAGAATGTAAATAATTTTCTGGGTATTTAACTCTTTGCACTCGAGGGCTCCAGAGCGGAGCCATTTAAAATTTGTCTTCAAACTCGAGGGCGCCGCTATAGAGACAATGCAAATAATTTTCAGTTCATAACATAAGGACAAAGACAAATCGTAAAAACTATTGTGTATAGGATATTAATTTTATAATTTTTTGTCTTATATATTATAACATTTGTATCCATAATCAATTAAAAAAACAATAATACACAACAATGACTTTTCTTTTAATGCACACACCATTTACTTATATGTGAATATGATCTTTCCACTGAAGTTGCTTCGAGTGCAAAGGTTTAACTCTTTGCACTCGGTAGGTGACTTTCAATTTGACACAGTACAACTATAGAATCTGATATTTAATGTTGAACTTTGTACAATGAGGTGAACTATTGGAATAACTTTGTTCCTCGATGTACTGATTTCTTTTCAAATTAGTCTCAAAGAATATCTCGTCAAAAAATATTAAATACTTCTAGTAACTTCCGAGTGCAAAGGATTAACGAAGAAAGTATTTATAACAAGAGGATTGACAATAAGAATTCGCTTACTTCAAGGCTGAGGGGAACCCCGAAATATTGGGGATCGTAGCCAACCAACGTGCCCAACCAGCCAAGTACCGAGTTCACTAGAGTAATGAACGCTACAAACGCGACAATATTGGCAATTATTCCTAGAACAAGGGGGATAGCTGCCAGTGCACCCTTAGTGGCAGCGTCTATGAGACTGGAGTCTGTCCTGGACAAACGATCCTGCTTTAATTCGACAAAATTTCGTTTATCGTCTTCAACGACGTTGGAACAGAAAGAGATCTCTATGAATAGATAAATATATAAAAGAAACCGTCGAACGTTTAGAAAGGTTTCCACTGTTCGACCGTGATAGAAATCTAATTACATTGTCAAGTATCTGCCGCTCTATCGAGCTGTCCAAACAGATTGAACATTTTCGGTAAATCAAATATACACTTGTGCTCACGATTTCTCGAGTTTCACGCTCTGTCGGGTGATTAGGATCTCCTCGGTCTCGGGGTAAAATAGTTTCGAGTAGCACAGAGTAGCCGGTGCTGCCATCAGCGAAGCCGTTATCAGATGAGCCGGGTTCGCGCCGAACTCGATGTACGCTGCCAGCACAGTTCCTGTGACAAGCCAACAAGATACGATCTCGATGATAAGGAGCCATCAATGGAGGAAAGATTATCAGTCGCATTAAAACGGATGTTCCAAACAACCTGACACTGTCGCGAAACCCGACGCCATGAGAGTGTGGAACTCGGAAGTGGTCAGCTTCTTCATGTAGGGCTTAAGAATCAATGGAGATTCTGTCTGGAAGCAAACGAAGGAATTACGATTCACTGATAAGCAAACAATGTTTCTAGGTCCTGCTCGATTCGATTATCATTTACCATTCCTACGAAGATATTCGCGGAGCAGCTCATCGACTCGCAAATCGACGTTCCCAGCAGGCTTTGCAGAATGCGACCAATATTCACGATGATCCATTGCATCACGCCTAGGTGGAACAGGGTTTGGATTATGAAGCTGAAGTAGTAGATCGTTGGCAGGACCTGAAGATTATATTCATTAAATATTTAACTATAATTGTAACTAAATATTTCATTATTATTAGTTGATAAGCTGTAACTAGTACTAAATATTTAATTATATATCAGATAATAGAGGTTGTAGTTATAGTTCCTTTTAGGCGGTCGCCTCAGTGTTGACACGTTGAATGCCGCACGATTTCACGGAGCAAAATACAGGAAGTAAGAAAGAGTATCAAGTATTTTTAATTGAATTGCGTTATCATTGTCGCACGGTTATTTGCTAAACGTCATCGCTGTAGTTTCATTATTTCTAGTATGGAGTTTTTACATAATCATCGTTTGATCGAGTGAATTATAGTAATTCGATTTGGCCGTGGGTCACCGGTGACCCCGCGGAATTCAACGTGTCAATAGAGTCAGCGCAGAGAGTTCCTGCTAACCGAAAACGCGAAGACCCCGTCAGCGACCAATTTCTCCGAGAAGATAAAGGCTGAGCCGGCTTTGCCAAAGTTCAAGAACGTCGTCACTTTATCGGCGATGCACTGGAAAATCGCTCGGCCGACGTCCCAGCGGATCGTCAGCAGGCCGAAGAGGAATTGCAAAATCAGTCCGCATAAAACTGGCCTCCAATTGACCTGCGGGAATTCAGAGAAAGATCATCATTCGATTAGCCGCGCGGACGCTCGGGGACATGCGAGGGTCTCGGCGAGTCGCGTCGCGCTCCAGATATTAACCATACGTCCCGTACGGCGATGAAATATTTATGTAAATAACAGATTTATTTGAATCGTATCGGGCGGGCAACGCTGAATTTTGAATCTCCGATTTGAGATTCAAAAATCGGCGGAATAAAGCGAGCGCCGCGGGTTCAGGGGACGTTTGATGAGATTCACTGACACGGCTGGGATGCTTCGAGAAGAGCCATCCGAGGCTCAACAGGATCACCACTCCGATGAGGCTCATTAGCCTTTCCCTAGAGTCCACCGTGTCGAAAATCAGAAAGATGATGATGGCGGCGAACACGCACGCGTACAACACCGTCCGGAAAACCCTGCCGCCGTATCTGCAACCGGCGGTATCGTGATGTTTCGTTGATTAGGATCAGATTGATAAGATAATTGAAAGCTTTTTCTTTTTATAGGAGGCTTGCCTGGTGTTTTGGAAGGTTTCCAAGCGACCTCGGAACGGACTGCTATGTTGACCGATCTTTTTCCTGAAACGTTTCGCGAGGTAGTGATACAACACGCCGGCGTAGCCGATGACGAAGAGGAGGAGCAGCATTCCGTAGCCATGGCACCAGTTGTAGCCTTTCTCGTAATCTGGAATTGTTGTTGTCAATTGCGTAGGAACGTATTTCTAAGATGATAATTATAAACTCATCCTGAAGGAATGACGCTGTTATCTTACTATAGATTAATCGAAGCGATTCTTTCTATAAGTTAAACCTTCGCGTTCTTTGTTCTCGAGAGAACTTCTAGATATTCCAGCGCTAATCGGCTTCTATAGTATCGCCATGTTGCAACACTTTTTGCGAGTCTGGTTTTTATTTCAGTATTTTTTCGTGCAACCGATTAACTGGAAATCGATCTCGAAGGACTTCGGAAAGTGCGACGGAGAATAAGTTATATTAAGAGAACTATCAGATAGATCTAAATGACCCATTCCTTGATTTTTTCTTTCGTAATTACTGAAACACAAACACCTCTTTGAGAAATTACTAAAGAAGCTAATTAATAAATCCACGTTTGCAATTTATAAAGAAATTGTCAAAGGTCAGTAAGTGCTCGGTAGTTTTACTGTTAAATTTTCATAGTCGATTTTGCGTCGAGTGCATGAGAATGCAAGTTGCTCATGAATATTCATCGAGTTATTCAAATCTATATATCTTTGTTCACGAGTGTTATTTTTACTGAGAATGTATCCTTACGTAGGGAAATTGTTAACACTAGGTTTACGGAACGCGTCAAATTGACGTATATTGGATTTTAGAAATATTATTTTGTAAATGTTTACGCCGATTTTGATTGATGTGATCACACTGACAGTATCCCAATTACCTACTATCAAATCTCCAGTTTCCACGAGCTAAATAAACGGGCATCAATTCTTTTAGGAATAATAGAATGAAGTGTACAATAAATGCCTGTAAACCTAGTGTTAAGGATAAAGTGACTCTGATCGGTCTGATCTAGAAATAGAGATAATTCTCTCAATCATATCAACATACTGTTGTTTCTCCAGTACAACGTGGCGAAAACGAAGTAGGTCAGCAACACGAGGTTGACAAGGAGCAAGACTAGGACCTTAACTGTCCTGCGGTGCTTCGACAGGAAAACGTCCAGCGCGTTGTATCCTGCGGCTAAGAAACCAGGGGACTCCGCCTTTGTCGTCACCTGTGACCCAAGCAGAAAGAAACATTTCATTGTAGCGCTAACGAACCAAGGCTAATCTATTGTTTAGCGGATAACATAATTAGTGTGCCAATATGCCGAGACCACGCACGGTACAATCGCGACGCGCCGGCCTTACGCTCGGCGAGATAACTTTTGTAATTATATAATTCACAGATCCTTTATCCTCACAGAAACTCGAATGATCGGCAAGAAAATTCATTTCCAGCTACTTCGAGCCTCTTAACCCCTTGCTTCATGGTATATAATATAACCATGATCGATACAACTACTTTGTCATTAACACGTTGATTACCACGGTGATGACCGGAGCTTTCGAATGACTTGAAAACAATTGTACCTCTTAAGATAACTGACATCCAATAAAAATGTTCAACAGAGCAAGTAAATAGATAATAATGTGACTTACGAATTGTACCAAATGATAATCAGTTTTTATCTTCGCTACAAAGGAAAAGATGACAAAACACTGAAATTTTTCGTGGTAGTCAACGTGTTAACAATTTATTGGAAAAAGTTAAAAAGTTAAAAAATTTATTTATTCGACGTTTATGTTTGCTCTAGTATAATAAATGATAACAAGAGGATGATATTTAATTTGGATTCAAAAGAATTGTGTAATACGCTTGCTAAATTCTGTTAAGAATCTTCACGTGTCTGACACGATATTGTAAGGCTAGGAATTAACAAGATTAGATTTACGAACGTTAATCCTATACTTTATTCTATTCTACTTAGGTAATTACGTGTTCGTCCATGGAAATCGCGAAACTGTCGCTTCAGAGTATTGTAATGCGTATTCGCGTAATTGCACGAATCAAAATCTAAGCTCGTGTAATATTTTACTGCCGACAATTCGTAAGAAATGCAACAAAATGTTCCATTCTACTTCGAGTGGAAATTTCAATTGTAGATGATACATAGATAATAGCAAAATAGTTGTCTTTGATCTGTTACTAATTAACACATTGTATGCCATGGAAGCCACCGGTGACCCCCAACCAAATCGAATTATTGTAATTCACTTAATTAAACGACGATTATTTAGAAATATTTCTATATTATAAATAATGCTACCTAACGTGGTGATGTTCAACTAGATGAATGTGCGATAATAATTACGCAATTCAATCAAATGATTTAATATTATAGTTTTCCCATTTTGTGTAGTTTGCTTTATGAAATCGCGCGGCATTCAACGTGTTAATGTGTGAACCATTCGGTATCCGTGAAATTTACAGGTTCAGTGAATGTAGTGTTGTCTCTGACAAAGTAAGTACAACTCATTGGTATGATTTTCATTGTATTCATTCTAACGATCATGTTCGTCACGATATTCATTTGATTTTACCGTGTACACACGCGTGTAATAAACGTATAAAAGTACAGTCTATCAACCACTGTTATTTCCATCGATTATCATCGATTCCGAGAAACAGCGCCGTTCCGCAATATACGACAAACGAACAATGAGGAAAACGATTGCATACCTTGTTTTTCATAAACTCGTCGCCGCGTTCTCCCGCTTCCAGTACACTCAGCTCATTGTCCTGTCAAAGTAACAAACATTTAATTAAACAACGATGCATCGGTTGACGCTTGATATTGCGATCGAGTCTAAATATATTTATATTTAGATAATTTCATCGTGACGCGTCGAGAGCCACTGATTAGAAAATTATTAATAACCAGAACTTTATTCAAGTATATAATTATCGAATAGAGTTTTAAAAAGCAAGAATAAAATACAAGTAATGCCGTTCATTACTCATTCCTGCATTAATTCTTATAATACCTTACAAATGCTAAGCCAGCAGGCTTGCGATAAGACACTGTATTTCCTACAACACAGGGATATAAATAAACTACGACTTAACTAAACTCATAGTACACAGATCCGGAAAACTAATGTTTCACGTGTAAATCTTAAATAGTGAAAATTGGACTTTCCATTTAGTATCAATCAAACATCGTAATGATTCTATATGTCCTTAACCAGTTAACTGTGGAATTTAGTTGGAAAAACCTCTCGTTCTGCGCGCAATAAAATAAAAAAATGGAGCTGTACTCATCGAACGCAGGACGAATGCACGTAGAGTATATTTTAATGACAGATCAAAGCGAAAGAAAGAATTACATGTCTATGTGAAAAAATGAATTCATCGCTGAAAGAATTAGTATCATGTCAAGCTTTACGATGACGTGTATACTCGTCCAACACATTTAACTAGTTAAGTAGATTTGAAGATACTTGAGGTAAACAAATATCAAAAGCTGAAGGAAAACTGGGTGAATCGCTAAAGACAATCGTATCATACAGGTAAACAAACGTGATGTAACTAGTATACGATAATGACAATAATTAACGCTAACCGTGAACCGATCAAAGACCGGTACTGAAATTTGATAAAAAATCCTGTTCCCCTTCTTTCACTTTACTTTATATCAATTCCTATATTGCCTGATTCAGTTTCTCAATTTCTTTTCCTTCGTTTCTGATTAACTATCTAACCTAATTAACATGACCCATTCCTGATTTCATTTTTCCTAGTTATTCAACAGATAACAGATGCTTCTCTGAAAAATTACTAAAGAAACTGATTTAGCAATACACAAACTGAATTGCAAACCAACTGAAGTCTCAATAATTTATTTACGAGGTTTCTACAGAGCAATTTCGAGAAGACAATTGAACTACTCGGTAGTTCTAGCGTTGAACTTCCGTCTGTAGCCAATTACATATTCCACTGATAGGAATGAGCATCCGCAAAGTGGCAGTGCGATTAGTGTTAACGTGTACCTCGAAAGCTGGATTCGCGGTGCCTGACATGTTTCTTAGTCCCAGATGGAGCGAGGCGGTGAAAAGGTGTACTCAGTGTCAGCAGTCCCTCAGCACTGCCGCGAGCATTGGTAGCACATGGCTCCGATGTCGAGGTAAACGAATAACTATTGTACTACAGAACCGACCGGGCCTCGCGAGCATAGGTATCTCGATTAACAATCGTTTCTGTAAACAGTAGATAACATTGATAAGAATAGTACTGCTCGCCGAAAACACTGCCTGTGCTTCGACCGATCTCCTCCGAGGATCACTTTCTCCTCTATCGTTCCTAACGCAATCGACGGAATCCTAATCTATAGTCAATCGTCAATCGTGAGCAGAAAATGTGACACTGTCGACGTGAGATTCTCATAATCCGTGCAAGTCGATGCGTTTTTAATATTGCCAGAATTCGATTGCATCAAAGTGATTCGAGTAACCTAATCCTCGATAAGTTCATCACGCGTATTATCTTCGTGTAAGCGTTCAGATTCAAATATCGACGGTACAGAACGTCGATTCGTGTTATCAAATAATATTCATATACTTCATTATGCGTCGAATCGTCGCATGTCGCGAATCTAGCGTTAAGGTTCGATGCTATCGAGGATGAAGTGTCGGAAAGTCCAAGGTGCTGGGCGATCTGTGGTGAAGAGGAACCATCAACCACCATTGATAGAGTGACGTTTCGTCGACGCGACGCGACGCGTCGGATCACGTGCACGCCGATAAGCCGTTCGAACAACTGAAGAATCCACGGGCGACTCGTTCCTGTTCGACCTGTGCTTGAACAACGATAAGGAAGTAGGGGAAATCGCATCTGACACAATAATGAACTTCGAGTGCCGGAATATTGCAATTGACCTCGTCCCCGTTCGCGGACGATTCATTATTCCGTCGGATCTACTAGTTTCCCCTACTTCGCGGCGGTGCAACGCGCGTTTCGCACTGTCGCGAATATCCACCTGTGGTTCACGGCGAGCCGCGAATATTTATCGCGTCCTCGTGTTTATCGCGGGTTACGGCGCGCGTTAAGTAACGACGCCGATGCACGACTAGCCGCGGCCGACTACGTCCGATCCGGCGACTCGTGAAAGTTCTATCGTCGTTTTACTCGGCTCGCGGGCTCGCCGGTTGTGTCACCGTTTCGCGGGGAATCGATTGCGAGAGCGCGTCGCCGATTCAAAGAGAGAATTTTAGGTTTGATGGCTGGTGGAGGATATTGGAGGATACACTGGTTTATTATGTTTCTTTTCAATATTACACGATTGAATCGGGTGTTGGTTGTATTTCGAAATATAGATTAACCCTTTGCACTCGAGAGGTGACTCAGTCACCACTTGATTTGATACAGCAGAACTATGAAGTTGAATATTTAATGTTTTAAATGAAACTTTGTATTGCTATAGGATAAAGAATTATCGTTAAATTAGTTTTAAGCAATATCGTCTATGTCTCGTCGAAAAATGTTAAATATTTCCAGTGAACAACTTTCAAGTGCAAAGGAGTAATTGTGTTGCGAGTTTGTAGAATTTTTATTGTATTCTATTATTATATAGTTTTCAAGAAAACGAGTTAATGGGTTTGCTTGAATTTAAGTTTTGATTGCCGAACAATTTTGTAAGATGTATTAGTTTATTATGTTTCTTTTTATAGTATGATACAATTGAATCGTATGTTAGTTGTATTTCGAAATATAGATTAATTGTAAGTTTGTAGAATTTTTATTGTATTCTATTATTATATAGTTTTCGAGAAAACGAGTTAATGAATTTGCTTGAATTTAGGTTTGATTGTCGAAAGATTTTGTAAGCTGTATTAGTTTATTATGTTTCTTTTTATAGTATGATATGATTGAAAAGTGTGTTAATTGTATTTCGAAATATAGATTAATTGTAAGTTTGTAGAATTTTTATTGTATTTTATTATTATACAGTTTTTGAGAGAACGCGTTAATGGGTTTGATTGAAGTATTTACCCAGTGGGTGAAGCGTTGCGAGGGTAGCATCGAAAATCTATAAAGAACGGAATTGAGTAATAAACAGTTAGAAGTTCTGTGCTGAGAATATATCATCTCGTTGCTCTCGAGTTCGTTAATCGCGGGCCCAGCCGGAACACGGGGACCGGGGAGCTAAACCGGAAAACGCGGCGCTGTAATCCGCGCTATCTGGTCGCGGATCGAGACGGAAGAGAATTACGCGAGCGTCTCGGGAACACGAATCTGCGCGCGTCCGTGTAATTAGCGATGAGATAGATTAATAGAAATCCGCTTCGGAGTCGAGCACCGGAACCGGAGACGTCTGGAAGCGTTCTCGCGAGCGCGTCGCGATTCAAAATCAAAACGAGCGTATCTTTATTCGAAGGAACATCTAATTATGAATTTCAGATTCGAGGCGTCGGATAGAGTTTCTTGAAATTTTTTAGAATTACTGAAAAGCCACGAGGAGTGTAATTAACTTGCACGCGCGGAGTATGAAAGGATTAATAACGATCGGGGATCTTCACGTTGTCCGAATTCTCCGACGGATTTCCTTGGAAGCGAAGAAACCACGATGTTTCTTCTTTATTAATCAATCGTAGTATGTAAAAACAATGTTGTTCTATCGTGTTCTTCATTAAAATCGGCGGTGTTTGACGTCACGCGTCAATTCCACGTATCGGGACTTTCTCCTCTTTATTCAGAAGTAAGACCGCCTGCGACGCGCCGGGACGACGCCCGGAGCCAAAAGCTACGTCAGACAATTTTCAGCGTCCGATTATTTATTTTCTTCCCGTCTCACTCTCTCATGCGGATCGTGATTCGAGATTTTAATCAATTTCACAGGCTGGCTTGTTTGTCTGCACGTGGAGCCCGAATCGACTAATGGCCGAGGCGAACTCCTTCGGCACACGTGGACCAGAGGCGAAGGTCTTCCTGGAAAGTAGACGCCGAAGACCTATCTAACGAGAGTCTCGTCGAGAGAGAAGTTCCTTTGAAAACATCCAGACCAGATGACGTGAATCAAATGGCAGGATGATTGGCAGTGTAATCGAAGCTGGAGATGGGTCAGTTACGACCCGTGATCAAGTGTCTTGCCTGTGCACTCAGAGCTAATCCAAGTTGCTACCAGTACACTTTTGAAATGTGGATTTTATCTTCTAATCTTTTCTGTTTAAATCTGAGTTCTTTGATTTCTTTCGAGGTTGATGAGAATTGATTGGATGGTTCTGTTTTAGGTTCGATAGTGAAATTGAAGCTGAAGCTGAGTCGGTTTCTATCTGTGATCAACTATGTTGCCTGTTCACTGGGAACTAATCTAATTTGCAGTGCACTTTAAAAATTAGGATTGTACTTTCTAATTATCTCTGTTTAAATTAGAGGGTTTTGGTTTTAGGTTAAGTAGTGAAATCGAAGCTAGATTTAGGTCAGTTTCGATCAGTGATCAACTATGTTGCCTGTGCACTGGGAGTTAATCTGATTTGCAAGCAGTGCACTTAAAAAATTGAGATTTTATCTTCTCTGTTTAAATTGTCTTTGTTTAAATTAGATGGTTTTGTTTTTAGGTTAAGTAGTGAAATCGAAGCTAGATTTAGGTCAGTTTCGATCAGTGATCAACTATGTTGCCTCTGCACTGGTAGCTAATCTGATTTGCTAGCAGTGCACTTTAAAAATTGGGATTTTATCTTCTAACTTTGTCTGTTCAAATCCGAGTTCTCTGACTTCTTTTGAAGATGATGCGTATTGATTAAGTCGATTTGCTTTTTAGGTGTCTAATTTATGGAGACTGCTTCCTGTGATCTTTTTCCCGGCGCGGCGGAAGAAGACAAGCGAGCCCGATTCGTTCGGTTTGCGCCGCTGAACACGAGGTGGATTGGGAAGATGATGCCGGGCTTATCTCTTCGAGACGCGAGCAGTTCCGTCCCGAGTCACGTACAGATTTTTGTTGGAAACACCGTTCGCGCGTTTTCTCGTGCGCCCGCTCGCTATCTGACGCGCCATTCCGAGGGAATTTGATTTCCCAGACAGTGCTTATACAGCGAGCAGGATCACACCATCCGAGGATGGGTCGATGAGAACGGAAGTGGACAAGATAAATCTGATTAGAACCATTGGAATGTCGAAATCCGCTCTATCCCCTTCGGAACTTCAACTTCAAATTCGCAAATTCGCGAAACTAATCAAAATTTCCTACATCTAAATTCTGCAAACAAATCTTACGAGTAATTCGAAGCTAGCTGCCTTCCTTTTATTATAAAGAAACCAATTCCAAGGAAAATCGATCGAGTTCTAACTAGAGTATCTATCGTAACATTAACAAGATACTCGTTTAAAGTTGAACGCGTCATTTCTTGTCCGTATTAGAAACACTATTAGATATTCCACATGGAAATGTTAGATCGAGGGTGTGTCTAATGAGAATTCTGCGACGGGTCAGACGTGACCCGGCGTCTGCCAGCCGCGTCGCTGCGTTCGGTCGGCGGTTCGAGGGTTAAACACGGTCATCCGGTCTACCGCGCGTCAACAGGCCGAAATGTGGAACAACTTTCAGTCCGAAAGGAAAGTCTCCGATTATTCGAGACGGGTGGATTTGCATATTACCCGCGATACGATCGAATTTTCCGCTCGAGACCGCCGGGAACGCGAGACTCGGGGCAGGGGGGTTATTCCGAGATAGAATGCTGCGTCAAAAGGTGCGATTGACGTACGCCAGCGGTACGCCGAAGACGCAATTTGCATTTTTCGTCTTGATCCGCTCGTCGAACTGTCTACGGCCTTGATAACTCTGCACGGCTCTTCTATTTTCCTACTCTACGTAGCGGATGGTTAGGCAGGCCAGTTTTAGGTCTCTGGCGCGACGCCAGGACCCGATGAGAATAGCGAAATCCGAAGAACATAACTCGCGGATAAACATCGCCGTTATACAGGCCCCGCGTTAGAAAGCTACATACGTCACGTCGCCGACGCTGAAAACTTTGGAGCCGATCCCCGACGTGTCCGTCATCCCTCCAGAAACTACCAAAACCCAGAAAAATTCGAACTATGCAGATCATCGGCGAACTCTGTTTCGATGAAGGAAGAAACACGATGGAGAATGGATTTATACACTCGTCCGCTTCTTTGTTTCTTTGATACCACAGCTTAAACCTTTGTCATGTAATTTTCCATCGACAATCTTCTAGATTATACGTAGATCACAATCAGTTGAAACTCTTTCGATCAGATGTTACAATGAAATTCTATGGTCATTGGGAAGATACTCTACGTTAAACGAAAATGTCATTATTTCCGTGGCATTCAGCTTCACGGTACACCGTAGAATATGAAAATGATGCTTTAAGGGTTGTTTCGTGTTACAAAGGCAGAAAAGAAACGACGCAAAGGAGAAGATTTGCGTATGGTGTGTAAGAGGAATTTTCGGGTTTGCCGGAGTTCCCTCGTCAGCCGAAAGAATGGCGTCCAGCGCATGATTCCCACAGAGGAATCCAACGCGCGCGGAAATGCGTATGTAGTTGCTTGCCATGGTGGAAACAGTAAACCAAGATGGCGGCGGCTGCCGGACACGCGAGAACCGAGAGGAAGAAGAAGAAGAAGAAGAATTGAAGAACGATCTGCGAACGACACGCAAGCTTTAGGCTTCTTCCTGTTCCTCATCTTTCCTCCCTCGAGGCGTGCGTCGCGCGCGGATTCTGCGTTTCTAAATAGAGGAACCATAAAACGCGCGGCCACGAGGAGAACCGTGGCACGGCGGATCGCTGTCTTCGACGAAATCGCGGACGATTTACGGGGCGAGTGGCTGGCCCGTTTTAAATCACTCGACGGACTGAAATTTAATGCATCTCTAATTGGGATCACTCGATCCTAACTGTACCGGCGAGCGGGAAGATTCAACCGGCATCGGTGGATCGATGTATGCATGATATGCATTGGTAAATATCGGGGCAGCGTTTCCTCGCGGCTTGAATTTACGACCGGCACACGTGCATTTAAATCGTCCGGCCGGCGATCGAATGCATTTTTAATTGGTCATCGTGTTAAACGCCGGCTTCTGGATAGCGT